TATTATTATTATTATTTTTATTTTTAATAAAATGCTGAAGTGGTAGGTAGATGCAAGATAGAGGTAGAAAACATAGTTTAGTGCTATAAGAGGGCAAATGTAGGTGATCAGATGATCAGGTGTGTGCCTCTGGACTAAGTATTAATCCAGGCTAGACAAGGGCAGCAAAACATCCACGGATGCAGAAGATTTCTCTCAAAGCAGGGGGGTTGAGGTTCTGAGCCTCACCTCTGTTGATCCCCAAATTCTCACCTGATGGCCCCCCTGCGACTGTGCCTGTCTTAGGTTGTTCCTCCCTTGAGGAATCTTACCCGTCTCTGGCTAACCAGTCATCTTCCAGGGCATCTTGTTCATTTTTTATTGTTTTCCTTGCCCAAAGAGATATGTCCAGGAAAAAGTTGCTAATGCTTATTTGTGTTCAAGAGATTTTTGCCTATGTTTTCTTCTAAGTGTTATGGTTTCATGTCTTCCATTCATGTCTTTGATCCATTTTGAATTTACTTTTGTATATGGAGTTAAACAGAAATCCAGTTTCATTCTCTTACATGTAGCTGTCCAGTTTTCCCAACACCAGTTACTGAAGAAGTTGTCTTTTCCCCATTGTATACTCATGGCTCCTTTATCATATATTAATTGACCATGTATGTGTGGGTTTATATCTGGGCTCTCTATTCCATTTATCTATGGGTCTGTTGTCATGCCAATACCATACTGTTTTGATTACTGTAGCTTTGTAGTGTAGCATGAAGTAAGGAAACATAATACCTCCAGGTTTGTTCTTTCTTAGGATTGCTTTGGCTATTCAGCGTCTTTTGTGGTTCCATATGGATTTTAGGATTATTTGCTCTAGTTCATTGAACAATGCCATTGGTATTTTGATAGGGATTGCATTAAATCTGTAAATTGCTTTGGGCAAGATGGCCATTTTTGACAATATTAATTCTTCCTATCCATGAGCATGGGATAGATTTCCATTTATTGGTGTCTTCTTTAACTTCTCTCATGACTGTCATATAATTTTCAGAGTAAAGGTCTTTCACCTCCTTGGTTAGGTTTATTCCTAGGTATTTTATTCTTTTTGATGCAATTGTAAATGGAGTTGTTTTCCTAATTTCTCTTTCTGCTGGTTCATTGTTAGTATATAGGAATGTGACAGATTTCTGTGTATTAATTTTGTATCTTTCAAATTTGCTGAATCCAGTTATTCTAACAGTGTTTTGGTAGAGTCTTCAAGGTTTTCTGTGTATAATATGTTATCTCCAAATTGTGACAGTTGAACTTCTTCCTTACCAATTTGAATGCCTTTTATCTCTTTATCTGGTATGATTGTGTGGCAAAGATCTCCAGTACCATGTTGAGTAAAAGTGATGAATGTGGACATCCTTGTCTTGTTTCTGATCTTACAGGAAAAGCTTTCAGCTTTTTTGCTATTAAGTATGATGTTGCCTGTGGTTTTGTCATATATGGCCTTTATTATGTTGAGGTATGTACCCTCTATACCCATTTTGTTGAGAGTTTTTATCATGAATGGTTGTTGAATTTTCTCAAATGTTTTTTCAGCATCTATTGAGATAATCATGTGGTTTTTATTCTTCTTTCTGTTGATGGTGTATGATATTGATTGATTTATAAATATTATACCTTCCTTGTATCCCTTGAATAAATCCCCACTTGGTTGTGTTGGATGATCCTTTTGATCTTTTGATTTATTTTTTAATTCTATTTGCTAATATTTTGTTGAGTATTTTTGCATCTGTGTTTATCCTTTTGATCTTTTGATTTATTTTTTAATTCTATTTGCTAATATTTTATTGAGTATTTTTGCATCTATGTTTATCAGGGATATTGGTCTAAAATTTTCTTTTCTTCTAGTATCTTTGTCTGGTTTTGGTATTAGAGTGATGCTGGCCTCATAGAATGAGTTTGGAAGTACTCCCTCCTCTTCTACTTATTGCAATTTGGATATTAGCTCTTTAAATGTTTGGTGGATTTCAACTATGAAGCTGTCTGTTTCTCGACTTTTGTTTGTTGGGAGTATTTTGATTACCAGTTCAATTTTGTTACTGGTAATTGGTCTGTTCAGATCATCTGTTTCTTCCTCGATCAATCTAGAAAGATTGTTATTCTTCTAGGAATTTGTCCATTTCTTCTAAGTTGTCCAATTTATTGGCATATAATTTTTCATAGAGTTCTCTAATAATTCTTTGTATTTCTGTGGTATCCATTGTGACAATTCTTTTCTTGTTTCTGATTTTATTTGTAGTCTCCCTCTTTTTTTCTTTATAAGTCTGGCTAGGAGTTTGTCTCTTTTGTTTATTTTCTCAAAAAACCAGCTCTTGGTTTTGTTAATGCTTTGTACTGTTTTATTCTTCTCAATTTTCTTTACTTCTGCTCTGATCTTTATTATATCACTCTTTCTACTAACTTTGGTTTTCATTTGTTCTTCATTTTCTAGTTCTTTGTGAGTTTAGACTGTTTATTTGGTGTTGTTCTTGTTTCTTAAGATAGACCTGTATTGCTATGTACTTCCTTCTTAGAAATACTTTAGTGGTGGCCCACAAACTTTGGACTGTTTAATTTTTGTTGTCACTTTTCTCCATATATCACTTGGTTTCTGTTTCAATTTGTTCATTGATCCATTGATTCTAAATAGAAGCATGTTGCTTACCCTCCATTTGTCTGTGGGCTTGTTTTGTTTGTATAATTTATTTCTAGTTTCATACCACTGTGGTCTCAGAAGTCACTTGATACAATTTCACTTTTTAAATTCATGGGGCTCTTTTTGTGGACTTGTATGTGATCTCTTCTGGAGAATGTTCCATGTACACTTGAGAAAAATGTGTATCCTGGAATGTTCTGTAGGTATCTGTTAAGTCCATCTGCTCTAATGTGTTGTTCAGTTCCTCTGTTTCCTTATTTATTTTCTATCTGGTTGATTTGTCTGTTGATGTGAGTGGTGTGTTAAAGTCTTTTAAAAAGAATTACCTGCAATCTATTTCCCTCTTTAATTCTGTTAGTGTTTTTTTTTTTATATATTAAGCTGCAACTATGTTGAGTGCATAAATATTTATAACAATTATATTAGCTTGTTGGACTGATCCATTTATCATTATATAATGTCCTTTATCTCTTGTTACTTTCTTGTTTTGAAGTCTGTTTTGTCTGATATGAATAATGCTACTCCTGGTTTTTTCTGTCTATTATTTGCAGGAAATATCTTTTTCCATCCCTTCACTTTCAGTTCATGTATGTCTTTGGATCTGAAATGAGTTTCTTGTAGGCAGCATATAGATGGGTCTTATTTCTTTATCCATTCTGCCACCCTATGTCTTTGGATTTGTGCATTCAGTCCATTTACATTTAAAGTAATTATTGATTGGTATGTACTTATTGTCATTTTATTGACTGTTTTCTGTTTGTTTTTATAGCTCTTCTTTGTTCCTTTCCTCCTCTCTTATACTCTTCTCTTGTCATTTGATAGTTTTCTTTAGAGTTGTGATTGGATTTCTCTTTTTTAATTTTTTGTTTATTTATTTTAGGCTTTAGGTTTATGGTTATCATAAGGTTCAAGGAAAGCTTCCTACCTATATAACAATCTATATTAAGTTAATGATCATTCTATTTCCAACACAATATAAAAATGCTTCTTTTTTCTTCTTTTTCCTCCTCCACACTTTATGTAGTAGATATCATAATCTGCATTTTTTGTGTATCCCTTTACCGATTTTATGTATAGTTAGTTTTACTACTTTTGTTTTAATTTCGTACTTGCTTGGTAAGTAATTGGTCTACTATCTTTACTATGGGTTTATTTTTACTGTTGAAAACTATTTAGGCTTAAGAACCTTTCTATCTATAGCAGTCCCTTTAACATATCCTGTAATGCCAGTTTAGTGGTTACAAATTCCTTCAGCCTTCATTTATCTGGGAAATGTTTAATCTCTCCTTCAAATTTCAATGATAATAGTGCTCCATGGAAGATACTTGGTTGAAGCTCCTCTGTTTCCATACATTAAATATATCATGGCACTCCCTTCTGACTTGTAAAGTTTCTGCCAAGAAGTCTGCTGATAACCTGATGGGGTTTCCCTTATAAGTAATCATTTTTTTCTCTCTGGCTGCTTTCAGTATTCTCTTCCTAGCCTTAATCTGTGTCATTTTAATTATTATATGTTTTACTGTTGTCTTCCTGGAATCCTTTTGCTAAGGGTTCTCTGTTCTTCTATGACCTGTGTGTCTATTTCCTCCCCCACATTGGGGAAGCTTTCAGCAATTATTTTTTCAAAGAGACTTTCTATCCCATTGTCTCTCTCTTCTCCTTCTGGTACCCCTATTATGCAAACGGGGTCATTAACCAGCTTTCTTAGCATTCTTTCATTCCTAGAGATTCTTTTTTCTCTCTTCCTCAGCTTCATTGTTTTCCTGTTTCCCAATTTCCATCTCATTATCTTCTTTACTTTCAGCATTATTGTGCTCATTCCCTTCATTGTATATTTCATTTCACTTACTGTATTCTTCATCTAAGAGTGGCTCTTTTTCAACTGTTTGTTGAAACCCTCCCTGAGATCATCAACTTTTCCACAGATCAGTGAGCATATTTATGACAATTACTTTGAAATCTTTATCAAGAAGATTGGTGATCTCTGTTTCATTTAGTCTTCTTTCTGGTGTCTTATCCTGTAGTTTTGTTTGGAACATATCCCTCTGCATACTCATTTTGTCAGGGTTTCTGTGTTTCTTCCTTTGTATCAGATAGATCTGAACAGAGCAATTTTTCTTAAATAGAGGCCTTACTATTCAAAAATTTTGTTTTGTTTTTTATTTCATGAAATTTCAACATGAAGTTCAAACGTCATGTTGGGGAACAAGAAGAGGATACTAATTTATGGATTGGATACTGTGCTTTTCACCTGGGTGACTACAAGAGAGCTTTGGAGGTTAGTAAAAAGGAAATTTTATAACAGAGGATTTTGAAAATGTTATTAAACTTTATATTATTGTAATATATGCTCATGGTAAAAGTCAAACCATCTAGAAGGGAACAAAATAAAAGGAAAAAGAGCTGTCTTGTATGCCTTCATCAATCCCATTTTTTTGTTAATGAAGGCAACCATTAGCTCTCTTATGATGTATTGCTTATAAATCTTCTATATATATTCAAGTATATGTATATATATCTTGTTTAGTTTTTGTTTTTATTTATAGACTGATGAGTTTGTCCAACATATTAACATTAGTATTACTTAAGGAAATCTTCAGGAGAAATAAAGTAAGCCCTTTTAGGCATTATGATTAGTACACATAAGGTGGGTCATGGAGAAGGCAGTATAGAACAGAGAAGACAAGTAGTGACTATATCATCTTACTACGCTGATGTACAGTGACTGCAGTGGGGTTGGGGGTTACTTGATAATACGGGTGAATCTTGTAACCACAATGTTGCTCATGTGAAACCTTCATAAGATTGTATATCAGTGATACCTTAATAATAAAAAAAAGTAAGCCCTTTTAATAAAGTATTTTCATGATACTTTTCTTAAGGCAAGTTCATTTTTATTTTGCTTGGTTAAATTACGTTATCTTTATTTTTGCAAGGACAATTTTGAGTGCTGTTTTTATTGGTCATTGTAAATCCTACCTATCTAATGAACAATCTATGGGACTATGGATTTAGATAAAATTTTAGATGCCTTATGTCAGACAACTTTTAACTCATAAATGAAATTGTTTAAACATTTCTCACATATTCTTACTCCCAAAATGTAATCTAAGGATATTAAAGAACCTGCATAACAAAAATAAAAGTATCCATGATTAGTAATAAGGGGCTAAGATGAAAAACAAGGGCAAAAAAGTCAGTGAAGTAAAAGGAAAGATACGAAAAGGACATAACAGAGGCTGATAGTATTTATGAACGATGTAGGAGAAGAATGAGTATCCCAAATATAGTAAGAGAAAGAAAAAAGGTATCTGGTAAGCACTGATAAATAGTGAGCGTATAAGGAAAAAGTAGACTACAAAGTGAATCTTAGTGAGGAAAAAAAAACCTTTTAAAAATGTAAAACCATATAAAGCCAGAAAACAATTAGAACAAAATAAAATTTGTAGTGTATTAAGGTTACAGGTCTTCAGGTTAACCTAATCTATGCATTTTTTAAAGTATCATTGATATACAATCTTATGAAGGTTTCACATGAACAACATTGTGGTTTCAACATTCACCCATATTATCAAGTCCACCCCCCACCCCCATGTGGTCACTGTCTACCAGCATAGTAAGATGCTATAGAGTCATTACTGTCTCTCTATGCCTTCCCCATGACCTACCAAAATGTGATTGTGAATTATAGTACCCCTTAATCCCCTTCTCTCTCCCCACACACTCTCCCCAATGCCTCCCCTTTAGTAACCACTAGTCATTCTCAGAGTTGTGAATCTGCTGCTATTTTGTTCTTTCAGTTTTGTTTTGTTTTTTATACTCCACAAATGAGTAAAGTCATTTGGTACTTGTCTTTCTCAGCCTGACTTATTTCACTGAGCATAATACCCTTTAGTTCCATCCATGTTGTTGCAAATGGTAGGATTTGCTTTCTTTTTATAGCTGAATAATATTCCATTGTATATATATGTACTACATCTTCTTTATCCATTCATCTATTGATAGACACTTATTAACCTATGTATTTTTTTGGTATCATTAATGTAGAATCACATGAACAACTTTGTGGTTACTAGATTCCCCCCATTATCAAATCCTCACCACATGCCCCATTATAGTCACTGTCCATCAGTGTAGTAAGATGCTATAGAGTCACTAGTTGTCTTCTCTGTGCTATACGGCCTT